ACATGTAAAAGGAAAGAGTTAAATAGGGTTGTAATTGTGTGGCTATTGTTGACAAGACTTGCATGAAACTGTGACTTCCAATGATGCGATGTTTGAGCAGTTTTTCGATGCCCAACTAATTTATTCGTGGCACTACTTGTAGATGATAATTGTGGTCACTTGATTTTCTCATCTCTTACACATCACATTATTGATCCTAAATTCAGAATTATTCACCAATAGGTGCATATTATGATGAAGTGGTGGTGCTGGTGAGTGGTATTATAGGTGTCCCTTGCTGAAGTCTCTTTCCTTACTGCATTTTCTGCTTTAACCTAATCCTGTCCTGATGATTCTGCCTATTGTTCTTGGAAATGAATTAAATGTTATTTCCCATATGTTTGACTGTATATGTTCTCACCTGGACCATATTGTTGTGATTCCTTTCTGCTCCATCTTTGTATGTGGAATACTTAGTTAAGAAATTTGCAAGAAATTGCTGACATGATGTTTTCTTCATATTGTAAATTGCAGTGGGTTTTGTCATCTAAGGAAATGAATTTTCCTTATCCTCTTGGACTGACTTTGCTTCACATGGTCTTTTCATCTGTTTTGTGTTTCATAGTCACCAAAGTGTTCAAGGTATCAAAAGAAAACTGATTATGATATGTTACAGTGAAATCAGGCAATATATATATATATATATATGCCTACAGATACATGTTTATATATATTAATTCTTTCTGAACTTTTTATCTTCTGGTTCTTCACAGATTATTAAGCTTGAGGAAGGAATGACTCTAGAATTGTAAGTAGCACACTTTCTTACATACTTGATGTTTGATTTGCAATGTCATGACTGATTATCTTATAAAAAAGGTCCAGTCTGTTTAAAATGCAAATAGTTACTTCCTAATTTATTTGCATCTTATGGTAACACAATACATGGAACGTTTTTATGTAACCATCTTACTTGAACTCAAAGGTAAGAATCATATGATGAACATTGTTGCAGGTAGGAGAAAAAAAAAATCATATAGCCTGGTCTTTGTTTAAGTGTTCTTCAAAGGCCCTTTGTCACTTTTCCCAAATCTTGCACTGTGAATTTGAACAAATATACGGGATACACATATGTACTTGTAATGTCCAAAGATACAAATGCTTTTGTTTAGTGTGTTCAGTGATGGAAATGTTTGAACAGCAGTATTAACATTGACATGTTTCAACACATTTAAAACATGGAAATGTTATTTCTTTGTTTGTTGACCAACCTTCAGGTGCTGAAGAGATTGATTTTGGTTCTGGAAGATTCTTTTTCTTAATATAGTAGGATGTAAATCACAACGGGTGTTGTCCAGAAGATATAGATAATGCAATTTCATGAATCTATAACGAGCATATGCTTATTGATCTGAGAAGAAAACAGTAGTTGCACCATGAATTTGGTATTATGACAGGAACAACTTCTTCTAAATGGTATAACACATTCACCAGTAGAGCATCTTTACCAATGAAGGCAATGAAAAATGACAATGAGATTAAAAGCTTTACAGGGTTAATTGAACTATTCAAGGGTATGTCATGAACTAATCCACATGATGGAATTGAAAGCAAGTTTTATGTATAAGGAGATATACTAATGATGTCTCATAATCTGGCATATCTTTTTTTACCCTAGTCAAACCAACCAAGCTGTTGCACACTCAATGGTTAAAATTACTTCCTCTACATTAGT